GTTATGGAGTATTCTGGGTCGCCTCCAAAACAGAAAAAGAAACTTGTGCAACCCTGTTTGCTTCACGTTAGATGTTGAACTGGAGAAACAATTAAAATCTCATTCGATTTCTGTTGTTCTAGCTTAAGTGGCCTCTCTCCTTTTCTGGGTGATGACGACAGCCAGACCCTCAACAATGTGCTTATGGGCAACTGGTAGGCCACTGTTATATCGATTCTATACACAACAGAACATGAACTAATTACAAGCAAGCACTGAAACATCTATTTAGAAATCATCAAATCTACAAACAGCTCTAAAGAACGTTTTAAAAGTGAAATCTTTTGTAAAACAACGCCCCCTGTTGGATGAGTGTAGGTACTTTGATGAGGATGCATTTGAGCACGTGTCTGCTGAGGCTCGGGACTTCGTTTCCAACCTGCTGATCAGAGAAAGAAGGTGAGATTGAAAAGTTCAAGAGACTAATACTAATTTCATCTTAATATGATAAATTATCTAAAAATTATTTTGACACTCCAAAACTATGTAAAGGAATAGTTGACCCAAAAATGAAAACTTGCTTAAATTTTGACCTCAGGCCATCCAAGACGTAGATGAGTTTGTTTCTTCATCAGAACAGATTTGGAGAAATTTAGCATTTCATCACTTGCTCACCTCACCAATGGACCTTCTGCAGTGAATGGTTGCTGTCAGAATGAGAGTCTGAACAGTTGATAAAAACATCACAAAACTTCAGACCACTCTATATGAACCATTGGTGAGCTAAATTTGTATGTAATGCTAAATTTCTCCAGATCTCTTCTTGAGGAAGAAACTCATCTACATCTTGGATGCACTAAAGTTTCAGCAAAATTTTGGGTCAGCTATTCCTTTAAAAAGGGGTCCTATTATGCTTTTTCACTTTTTCAACTTTAGTTAATCTGTAATGTTGCTGTTTGAGCATAAAAAAGATCTGCAAAGTTACAAAGTTACAAAGTCCAATTCAAAAGGAGTCACAGCACATTTCGTATTTCAGAAGGCGGACCTTCGTTTTATACAGGAACTATTCGAGCCGTTCGTGCCAGACTGGGTAGAGAGGTGTTGTAATAATGTAAAATATGTGAAAAATAATGTTTTTCGAACAACCTAGTATGAGAGCTGGTTCTAGTACACCCCTCAAACAAAATCAAGACTTTGTAAAAGAGCATAATAGGACCCCTTTAAGAATGTTCTGTGTAACACAAAAGAAGATGCTTAACAGAATGTCTGAGCTGCACATTTCTATACAATGAAAGCTTAGCACGACTATTGGCAGTCAAGCTCCAAAAAAAGATGCAAAACACTATAAAAACACAATAAAAGTACTTCATACAACTTTTGGTGTTTATTCCAAGTTTTCAAAAGATTTTTCTCTCTCTTTTTTTTTTTTACAGTGGTCGTCTGAGTGCTACACAGTGCCTCAAACACCCGTGGCTTAACAACATCACTGAGAAAGCCAAGAGCACCAACATTGTACTCAAGTCTCAGGCTCTTCTCAAGAAGTATATGGCCAGACGAATGTGGAAGGTAAAACATTGAGGACACAATGATTTGCCACTTTCTTAACACAAGATACTAAATGCTTTCTTACTCACTTCATTTCTCCTTTATCCTCTTTCACCTGTCTGCTTTGTGCAGAAAAACTACATAGCTGTTGCTGCAGCCAATAGGTTTAAGAAGATCGGAAGTTCAGGTTCCCTAACTGCACTTGGGTCAGAGACATCCTACTGACTGTGCTCACTATGTGTGCTTTTATAATATGCAGATCATGTCTTTGTATTGCTGTGCTGTATTGCCACCCACCTTTCATATTTGAATACTCTCTGGCTGCCAATATAATTATTCAAATGCATCTGTAACATGCAATAAAACTGATGTACCAAATAAATATTTCTCTTGTATTTTCTTTTGACATCACATTGTTAAACTCTGGTGTTTTTCAAGGATTCATTAATTTATCACTTTTGTTTTTGCCCAAATGTTATTGTAATTGAAAAAGCATGTGGATAAGAATGAAAGAAAAGTAGTTACTCTTAAATTTAGTATAGCTTGCAGTTGACTATTCATATGTTGATGTTGTATAGTAAACGAAGACCAGTGGTGTGATCATTGAATCAGTTTGATCCTAAATATGTACGGAATACTGGTGGCTTTTGTCATATTTTGTGAGGTGAGTGTTAGACCATAAACAGGACGTACAAGCAGGATGTTCAAAACACACCTATGTTGCTGTTACCACAGTAATGTAATGCAGAAGAACCTGTTTTTGAAAATACATTCATGTCATTCTTTGGCTGATAAAACGTATAATGCTCTCCCTTTTTTACTTGGATAAATAAAGTAATGTTATGGGCTAAATAAACAGTGTCATGCCCATTAGAATTGCACATTTGTCCTCAGATTTTGAATGCAACTTCAAAAAACAAAACAATAAATTGGTTATTTTTTATTTTTCATTATTGAACTATTTTTTTCAACTTTGCAGAGCAATATCTTTTTTTATTAATCATTAATCAGGCTTCAACATAAAATGAGATCACCCCGCCCCCCTTTTGCATTTAAAAGCAGGAAAAAAGTTACAAAATGGACCTTAAAAGGGAACTTGTGCAGATATTAGTGGAATTTCCCTGGAATTAAAATTGCATCATTGCTGATGATGTCATCAGCATGACTGTCATGCAGTCATTTTGTTTAAATCATCCTGAGCTTAACTGAGAAAAAATACTTAAATCTAAAAGTCTTTTACATTTGTTATGTAAAATTTCAGAATGGCTCTGATGAAATTTAATCCAGAATTCCCTTTTCCATGACTGCACAATGTTGACTTCCTTTAAATGATTGTGGTAAATTTTTATTTTTTTATTTATATAGACCTATGGTCTATTAAAATTATTTTATCAGGCCATGACAATGCTGCAATAAATTATATCACACTGGGCGTGAATGTGTAATGGGAAAGATGAAGCTAAATAATTTCTAATCTTTGCTGGCGTCTTCAATATGTCAAATGATATTTGCAAGACTGTAATAACATGATCTCATATTAACTGTAATTACTATAACAAACACTCCTTAAAACATTTATTAGTGATATGGACTAGGGTTTTATATATGATCTCATAGTCATATGATGTCAAATCAAAATTAAAATATGAACTTTGAGACATCTTTATTTATGTTTAACTATTTTTGTCTCAGTGGTTTTAGACTTAAAGGGTTAGTTCACCCAAAAATGAAAATCAGCCTGTGTTTTACTCACCCTCGAAGCATTCTAGGTGTAGCCTCAGAGTGTCCGCGGGTCCTTAAAAAGTCTTAAAATGTCTTAAATAACGTTTTCCTAATATAAGGCCTTTAAAAGTCTTAAAATGTCTTAAATTCGGATTCGATGGGTCTTAAATATTTTTGGTCACATTACACTAAAATATCTTCAGTCTGACGGACCTAATGACTTTACAATCATTGGACAGACCGAATATTTTTTCTTCATCAGAGAGAATTGCAGTAAGTTAGCAGAATACAGAATACAAGGTCGCGCTGAGGCTCACTCTGTTTGTCTCTTTGTGAGAGACTTCAGAACAAATGAGCGTGACAGCACACATAAACTCAGAAGAAACACACTGAGGTAAAAATTCACAATGTTTAGTTTATTCATAACATTATATAGTTAAGTAACACCATGGCAAGTGAGCTATTTTGCTCAATATTCTCACGACACAAAAAAAAACAAACATTCAAAACACCTAAAGAGTGCACGCATTACGTGAAGTCTAGTGCGCGTGCGCATTTACAGTGCCTTCTTTCACTGCATGATTCAGTCTATTAAAATACATTCAGAATGATCACAAATTCAAGACATGGGGGCAGAAAATGTGTATATTTATACCACTTCTTATAGTTAATCAATTTCACACGGAAGAGTGCTTTTTTTTTGCAGATTTAAGTATGTAAAAGCTGACAGAACACTGATGAAAATATTGCTTCAGAATAAATTTTTTACTCCACCAAAAATCTCAGTGATGCAGTTATTTTGCAGGGATATTTTGTATGGAATATTGTCTGCTGACATTAAAAGTTCACTGTATATCGTAGTAATAAATATAATTTATTACAGCAATGATATTTTGTTTTCTTTTTAATTTAAACACATTAAATATTACATATATGTATGTAATAAAAAGTTTCATATAAGATGGTATTAAAAAGGTCTTAAAAATTCTTAAATTTAACTTGTTCATGTCTGCAGAAACCCTGAGCCTATGTGACTTTCTTCTTTCAGACGAATCCAATCGGAGTTATATTAAAAATTGTCCTGGCCCCTCAAAACATGCAGACGTATGACGTAGGACATTGTGCGCGTGCCTCTGAGAAATGCAGGAGCAAAGGAAGCAAAGTTTCCTTACTTTCAGGCTAATTTTCATTTTTGGATGAAATAACCCTTTAATACTGACACCTATTGGTGTGAAAACATTAGATTTGTTTACTGATAATATACTCATCCATATAATGTCCATTAGATAAACTAATATATATATATATATATATATATATATAATGTACATTATATGGATAAGTGTATTATAAAAATGTATATTTATTATTATAAAGTATTATTGATATAATTATTAATATATAATTTATAATTATTATTATTTATAACTTGACCATGAGGGCTGGTCTTGTGATGTCAACATGGTGGCGCTCATCATGACAGGGCGACCTACACATACCTACATAGAGATTGTACGATGCTATTGTACACAGCCTAATTAAAAAAGCTGTTCACTCCTTTGTGTAAAAACCTTTTCAATTATAAAAAATACTGAGTGCACCTTTAAAATGTGACGCTTATATTGTTGTTGACAATATCTGTTAACCATTATAAACTATTAGATCTGTTTTAGGCCATTGAAATGAGAAAGAAAGGCTTAGAGTAAACAGATGATTTCTGTACTAGGCCCAGCCTCTTTTGCAGTAAGGGGTGGGGTCACATTTATACAATCCAACACTTCGTGTACTCCGTGTACTGTTGCTTGGACAGACAGCATCCAATTTTCCTGCACGCGAGACTTCACATTTTAACCAGAGGTAAGCGTTTTTATTTCACCAATATTTTTATCGACGGGCGCGCGACACCTTTAATTCAACATGTGACGGAAATTTCTCCGGTAATCTCGAGACTGAAACGAATGCCACGTTTTCTCTTCGTTTATAAGGAGTACTGATTGTTTGTTATCTTTAGTATTTAAATAATGAGAAATCCTCGAAATTTCACGCGGGGTGTAATTTAGTTAACCCAGTGAATAGTCACATTGTTTCTTCTCCTTTGCTATTTTCTTGTGTCGTAGCTTGAATTTAATCAGTCATTTCGGAAAGAGCGAGGCCTTAAAAGTCTTAAAAACCTCCGACATATTGGTGGGTTTCTTTTAAACATTCGAACCCTGTTTCAGTCAGATTTAAAATACCATAATGTGAAACTTTCTAAAGTTGAGAAGTTGGCCTGGGAGTTAAGAAATAAGGCATTTGTGAATCACACGAGGACGTGGATTATTAGGAACAAGAACTACAGTTGAGTGTCGTCATAATCATAAACTTTATTTATTTATTTATTTATTTATTTATTTATTTACAACCAGCATACTGAGTCAGTTAAAGATCGTGTAGCCTTTAAAAAAACAATTAGACAGGAAACCTTCACACTAAATTTAAAACAACAAACTAAACTCTGGTGACTATTAATCTCGTGACTGCAGTCAGATGAAGTAATAACAGTTTCACCTTTCTCACGGTTTTATTTTGTTCCTTGTTACTTAAGACAAGTCAGCAGTTTTAGCTTTTCTAATGTTCATTTTTACCTGATTAATTTTCTTTTGTTCAGGGTAAAGAGAATGAGGACTATAGGGCTTAAGGTCCAAAACCCACATTTTACCTACATTTATTTTAACTATAGTCATTTTGTTCTCAGAAACGGCACATCTTTAACAAAATTATTTTCACATTTTCCATATAATTATATAAAACATGTGGTTAATCTTTTTGTCTCTTGAGATACTGTCCAGTGATACTTTGTCCTGTAAGAACTGACATCACACACTGGATGAGACCCTCAGAAAAATTATTTTTGAGTTATTTCAAGTAATTTTGTCATGTTAGTCATGAGGTCAAGCATAACATGTCCACCCTGGAAAATCTTGGAGGAAAGAATCTGATTTATTTATTTATTTAAAGGTTATAGGCATCTATATAATTGTCATTTTCAGTCATAGCTTAATATGACTTTGTAATCTTTCACATTTCGTCTTTACATATTCTTGCCCTTTGAAGTTATTTTAGTTTCTTGTCATTTTTATGGTTTCTTTCAGTTGCTTGAAAAGGATATTTGACTTTCAGTAATATACAGTTAATTATTAGCCTCATTTAGCTGGTGTCAGTACACTGACCTATATATTGTTTCTGTATTTTGAACCTTGCAGGTATTAAGCGCAGTGGGTGTGGTCTCTTACTTTCATTTATGTGTTTTTACCTTTTTTCTCTCTCTAGATTTAATCGAAAATCACCATGGCTGTAGAAGGAGGAGCAAAATGTATCAAATACCTGCTCTTTTTCTTTAATTTCATCTTCTGGGTGAGTAACAAATAATGTCTATTATTTCACATCATATTTCGCATTAGCTAGGGCATGTGTTATAACTGCTGGCCCATTTTCCTGAATTGTCATTGGCTTATTGCATGTTATCTGGATGCTTTATTGTAGGCTGGGCGATATGGCCAAAAAATTATCACAATATTTTATTTTTTTTTCATATCAGTCGATATCGATAATTATCACGATAAATGTAAGATTTTTATTTCTTTCAAGTTTAAAGGCAGATTTTTGCTCCAATGTAAAAGTTGTAAAAACCAGATGGTTAATTGTGGTTTTAAACTTCTTTATGGTCAGAAGATGACAAACACTTCGTTTTTGAATTCTTGACACTTTTCCAGTCATTTTTCCTTAACAAAATAAATATCTTAATAGAAAAAAATTATTTCTTAGTTCTGCATGTTCTAGTAATGAGTAATATTGTTTCAAATCAAGAAACAAGTTTGTGTTGCCTGATAATATTAATAATAGGCCTATAACTTTTTTTTGTCTCTTAGAAATACACATTTGATAGTAGCTTGAGTTAGGATGCAGATGTAGATTTATGTTCATTATCAAAATCAGTAATATCTGTAAAAATTGTAGCAATTTAATTTTTATATGGTGAAATTTAATTATTCTGACTGTTTAACCATTGGTCTTCCATACTAGCATACATAGATCATGATAATCACAGTTAAAACACAAATATAGAGCCTCAATACCATGGTAAAACTTTAATATGGCTTGTAGGTATTTATGAAAAACAGTAGTCTAAATACATTTATAAATGCATAAACGCTATAGCTTAATCACAAAAAATACTGTAATTATATTCCATTACTCCTCCTTCAATACATTTAATACATGTCTACATTAATAATATAATCAAATTTGACACGAATACCCACATTTCTGACACAATACCATGGTGCAGTTAGTGCTACTACAGTAAATGTAGTTAGTGCTACTACATAGTAAATTATGGTGATTTGTAGATTAAAAAGCCTTCTGACTGTATCGTTGCCACAGTGTTTCTGCTGTTTGTCAGCGCTGTTTCATCTGGCTGTAAACTGAGTTATTTGTGTTCCTCGCTGAATGCAATCGCTTCACACTGGATCTCACAGCGCTGTTCAGTGTCGCGTGAGCGAGACTCATCAGCGAGTGAACCTGTTTTTATACAGTCTGAGATAGGCATGGGCCGGTATGAGATTCTGACGGTATGATAACCTTAGATAAAAATATCACGGTATTGTGATTACAGCTCTAAAATATGTTATTTTTAAATGTCTGGGTAAAAAACAACAACTTTTTTTCCCCACTGAACACAATACATTATATTTTTAAGAAACATAGAACATTTTGGAACAGTAAACATGTCAGGCTAAATAATTAAAATAAATAATTGAATTGTTCTTAATTAAATTAAGTGCAATCACTTAAGTGAGCCTAAACCTGCAGCTCAACAATAATCAGAACATAAATTATTTTCTGTAAAAAAAAAAAGAAAAAAATCCTTCTAAATGGAAAAAAAAAAATGCAGTCACTTAAGTGAGCCTAAACCTGCAGCTCAATAATCAAACACATAAATCAAAACATAATTTCTTTAAAAAAATAAATCAATAAATTTGCTGCAGCTCAACAAGGTTTTTGGAGACATGCTCACTTTCTACACATTCCTCTTTCAGTCCAAGTTATGATGCAGGAATGTTCACCTTTCCTGGATTAAGTTTGGAGCGGTGAGGTACGAGAATGTGTGCACATACACCATAAGGAAAGAGAGAGCGCGAGTGTGTTACACACACAAACACACTGTCTTTCTCCATAAAACACTCAAACAGTGGCAAAGACACCTGAGAGCCAGCAGTTTGTTTGTTTTTTAAATGTCGTGATTTTGAACAGATGTAAACAATGGCAGGCGGTATAGAGAAGTATAGACGTGATACCAGCTAAATTTAATTATTGTACTAAATCGTATCGTCCAGCCCTAAGTCTGCTATTCCTCGCTCTGTGAAGTAACTTGAGGGAGGAAACTAGTTGACGTTAGCTAGTTAATTAACCATGTTATCTGCCTCGGTAGCAAGCCAAATAGTATTTCAACACTGAAACAAACGGCGGGTGGGTCTCTGTCTTGATCAGGGGTGAAAGAGGGAGAAATGAAGATGACACAGATACATAGTTTACGTACGTCCTGGAAGTATTTATTTAGCGATCGGCACTAAAACGTCATCTGTACGGAACATCATTGTGTACGTAACATGGTTAGTCTACGTTACCCAAAAAATTCCCATACGGCAGACTTCGTCTTTTTCGATGGGGGAAAAGTTCCAGGGATTCACCTCCTTCGGCCATCCCACACACAGCTGACTCTCACTGACTGTTCGCACCAACCGGAGGTGGGGAGGGTTCGTGTGACTCGTTACACCCTTCGCTGCACACAACTGAGGGAGTCGTGCACTTTCCGTGTTTGATGACACGTAAAAAAACTGTGCGTACCGCAGCAGCGGTATAACGGAAAATTTTAGTGCTTTTGAAACCATGACTTTTCCAAACCGCGGTATACCTTGAAACCGGTTATCGTCCCATGCCTAGTCTGAGATGGTTTTTATACAGTCACAGATGGAGTGAACGCATCTGCTCTAGTGAAGCTCGCGCCGCTGTTTGAACTTTGATCCGAGAGGATAAATGCTCCGAGTGGCGCGCTTCAAATGACTAGTGCTCTTTCGTTCCGCCTTTGCCGCATAAACATTATATCGAACATTTATCAAACTCTTGTTATCGTTTATCGAGGAAATTTATATCGCGCGATAATTATCGTTATCGATTTATCGCCCAGCCCTACTTTATTGTGAAAGATTTATACAAAACGCTTTCCTAACCCTGCCTTTTTACAATTCATGCTGTCTCACGTTGACTTTAGTGAGTGGCTTTAAAAGGAGAAATAGAATGGACAGTTTTTTTCCTCTACTTCTCAAATATGTCTTGTGGTATTTCACAATTCCTCCTCCCCCTCTCAAAACCTCAAAATGTTTTAAGAGTTCGTAGTAACTATGACACAGTTTTGCCAGTCAAGGAGCTCTAAGGAGAGCAAAATAAGTTTCCTGTTATATTGACTCGGAGTGTGAGGCCAGAAAATTTCACAACATTCAGGAATACGTTTCCTGGCTTTGTCAGATTACAGGAATACAGTCATTTAGTGTTAGCATGCAAATCAAATTTTGCTGTTGAACTTTCAAAGACCAATCACTCATGAGCTTGAGTGTTTAGGATTTTTATAGGGTTTAAGGTGTTTATCAGGAGCTGGGTAAACCTTCGCATTATTACATGCTTAAAGATTAAAGTGTTAATGGCTGTCCTTCAGCAGTTCGCTGATAATGCAGGCTTCCTTTTAGGTCATGGAAAATAGCACTCACTTCATCCCAGCAAGTTTGTTTGATCACACAAAGCACTGCTCTCTCAAGCATTTATCTTGTGCTGTTGGTGTTGACATTGTTTGGTGTCTAAGCATTCCCAGGTGTAAATGTGCACACCACACACTCTTTTTAAAGCGTAACCTGAGCATTTAGTGGTATGTTTTCTGAAAGAAAAAAACATTCTTGCATGTACAGCACTCTATCCTTCAAATTGACAACATAGTTGCTAATGGCCATGTACTTGTATGAGCTTACAGCTTGTTTTTCACACATACTCTGATGGGGATGTGCACAAACTCATTTTTGCACCTATATTCCTGTGATCACACAAACACACTGATCTTAGTTTCTGTTGCACTGTTTGGACAGACTTAATAGTGTTCAAACGTAGTTTAGGAAATTATGTATATAATTATTTACAGGAAGGAATTATTTAGGTATCTACCTTTATTGCTACTGCATTGACCATTCTGAGCACTTTCTGGAATTCACCTCATCTTATTTTTGTTAACTTAAGTTATAGATTTCATTTTCTTTTTATTCCAGTATACCCCACAGTACTTGAACTACTATGTTTACTCAGAAAGTTTACTTTCTTAATCATTAAATCATTAAATTAAATAAATGATTTGTGACACAATAAATATTACTTTAGTTATGGTATTCAGTGAACATCAAAATAAATGAGAAATGTTGTGAAAATATCATATGTCCACAATCATAAAGATGTGTATAGTTCAGATGGGTTTAAAAACGGTGCATGTGTGGAACTAATGTAACTTTCCCAGGGAAATTTTGTCGCATCTGAATAGGACATTATATCACATGGAGATTCTCAACTGTAATGTTAGAAAGCACAAAAACAATGGATCTGATGTGTTTCAATTACCTTTTTTTTTTTTAATGATAATAATAATGAAACAGTTCCACTTCTGTTAATTTTAGATTATTTTAATTTCATATTGGGTGCATTTCCTAACCAAACATTCAACCATTAACAATTCCAGTGATATGAGAATTAGAGTTGTGTGTTTGATTTGCAGCAACAAACTTCTTTTGAACTAGAAAATAAAATAAAATTCATCAAATTACTCTGTGGAGTTTTGTGCTGGGAATTTAATAGTCTCATATTTCTCAGTGAAAGCAAGATTTAACAGTTCAGTGTCAGTAATGTGATTGATCTTCCTATTTGCGATGGCATCATATGACTTTCCCATATAAGTATCAACGTTCATCTGTGATGCATTCCGTGAAAAAATGCCAAGGGGCAACTTGAATATGGGCTGATAATAGACAATTAAACTCCTTATTTAGGACATTGTCATGTGTTTCTTTATCTAATAATAGACACTCAATTTCAGTGTATATCTTTATTTCACTCAGCAGGAATTTTGCTCCGGTACCTGCTGCCACTTATTACCCTCAAATATTTACACGGGTGTTGCTTTGTACATTAGCCGGATTGGTGTAGTCATAAAAGTTGATCTGGGTTGTTGACTTGCTGTGAGAATACCATACATCTTACATTTGTACAGCTGACGCATACATATTACTAAACATCCTTTACACTTTGCTCAGCTGTGCTGATCAGTCCTACTTTACTTAAGAGACATTTACACAGTACATTATCTGTGTGATAATGATGGTGCGTAACTAATTTCCTGATTACTGACAAACTTTACATAGCATGATAAATGGATATTTCAAGCCAGCGCCAATGGCAAATTAGTGTACTGAAAGTTGCAAAGAAGCGTTCTAATAACTTAACCACACCTAGTTACAACTCCCTTTTTTGTTTTTCTCTTTAATGCTAATGCAATAAGTTACGGTACCATTTTTTTTCTTTACATCTTTAGTGGAAAACAACACTCAAATAGAACCTAGTTAATATGAATTATTCATTCTAAATTAAAAGATAGTTCAATAATAAAATAGACTCTGATCAAAATTGGTGCTTTTATTTCATTTGACTCTTTGAGATAATTTGAGAATGCAAACGCATGACATGACATACTGCTTCTGTCTTGAGGCTCCAGTTCCTCTTTTTGTCTCTCTTTTTCATCATCGTTCTTCTGTTTAAATTTTTATGATTCCAAATAAGTGACTGTTGTAAGTTTAAAAATGTAGGTTGATTGCAGGTTAATGCCAGTTTAACTACAGAATGAGGAATAACTAAATAACTATTGAAGAGTCTGTTAAAGTCACTGTTTTTCACACTTCTCTCTGTCTCGTATCCCTAGCTGTGTGGCCTGGCCTTAATAGTTCTGGGGGTATTGGCTAAAGTTTCTATCAACACCACGGCCTTCCTCAAAGGATACTCCGGTTCTCCTCTAGTGCTGATAGTGGTGGGAGTCGTCATCTTCTTCATCGCATTCTTTGGCTGCTGTGGCGCCTGGAAGGAGAATCAGTGCATGATCACCACGGTAGGGATGTGTGAGGAAAATATTTGTGTTCTAGTGCTGCAGTGCATATAATGAGATTCAGGTTTTCTAGTAAATGTAAACCAATTGCTGTTCAGACAATTTCGCTAAGATAAAGGAAATGGTTTAATTGTTTAGGGTTGCTTCAGCTGCTTGCACTAGGGGATAAATTTTGTTTGCACCATTTATTCTTAACACTTACCTATTAATTCACAAGCTCTTTGTAAACAAAGGCTTAGTCACCAAGTATTACATGACATTTACCTTTATTGCTTTCAAATTTGTAATTAGGAAGTAGTGCTGAAATCCATGCATTTTGTTTTTAATTTGTTAGGTTTGTTTTCAACTTATTTTACCTCATGCAGCAGTCAGCGTAAATTTTAGTTGAAAAGGGAGAAAAATGCTATATTGCATATATAAGATAAATTAAATAAATGTTGATTTTTCCAAGTTGTACATTAGTTTTATTTATTGTTTATTTTCTAATTTAATTATTGAAATATTTAATTACATGTTATATATTTAAATATGTAAATAGATTAACATGACAGATTTGGGAAATGTGTGTAAAAATAATCTGGAACAAGAAATAATACTGCTAATAATAATAAAAAAATAATAAACCGTATTGAAGCAATAAATAGGATTAATTCACAAACTGGGAAAAAAAAAGAGAAAATACAGATTAATGATCAAATCTAGCATGCACTGGGGTAGAGGACAATGTTACAACGTTAACATGTAAATGTATACAAGTGTACTTGTTAGTATATACCAGGGTTCCTCAAATCTTGCCCTGGAGGGCCAATGCGCTGCACAGTTTAGCTCCAACCTTGATCGAACTCACCTACCTGTGATTTTCTAATGATCCTGAAGACATTGATTAGCATGCTCAGGTGTGTTTGATTAGGGTTAGAGCTAAACTCTGCAGGAAAGTGGATCTCGTGGGCCAGATTTGAGGATCCCTGGTATATACTGTTGTGTTGACTGACTGAAATATGAAGTTTATATGTGGGCTTATGTTTTAATTAAGTTTAGTGGTGTAGCACGCTAATATTAAAGTCCACGTGAACCAGAAGTTGCTGCCGACTTTATTGAAATGAAATATTGAATAGAGGTTGGGGTTTTATTTGAGTGCACCTCCTCTCCATCTCTCGCTCGCAGCAAACTAATGGTTGGAAGAGAGTGGTTAAGCATACTCTGCCCAAACTCTGCAAATCTGACGTCATCAGAGAAGGAATGCCATTCCAGTGCGGAAGCTAATGTTCAGATTTTGATTAAAGACAAACATTAAACTACCAAGACAAACATTGTTTTTAGTAGATTAACTTCATGCAGACTTGAAGTATTGCCCAAGTAACTTGGTACACATTTACACCATTTACACGACATCTAGGCTATATTTCCACGAACTTGCTGCTGATGCTTTTGTTTATTTACTGACTGCTGTAAAGCTGCAGCATGTCTGTGTTGACATGGTCAACACATGGCCAACAGGTCAAACCAGATTCCTTTTGACATAACACTTAATTGGAAGAATAGATGTGTATCTGCATATTTGACTAAAATGGATAACAAACAGTTAGAATGAACTGGTGCCTCAGAATATGCCACTAAGCCTACACAAATACAGTAGCACAGCACCTACCCTCTCTCAATAAAATAATTAAAATCTTTGAAATGCTGTTCCTTGACTTTCTTCACCTTTATCAGTCACCTCTACTTTATTTATCCTTTCCTAGTTTGCTGTTCTTCTCTCCCTCATCATCATCATTGAAATCGGAGCCGCCATCGCTGGATATGTCTTGCATGGGAACGTGAGCACTCTTCTCATTGGCACTTCATTTTTATTCATCTATTTCCTAGTACCATTTGGCTCATAATAATTTCTCTTTCTCTGCAGCTGACTGATCTACTGAATAAAGGCTTTGACGTCATGATCACTGGATACAATGAAACAGAAAACCGTGAAACCCTTGATACTATACAGCAAGACGTAAACCCAAACCTCTCACATTTTGGATGTGCTGCTCGTCCAAACAATACTTGTGATCAGTGTTCGAACTATACCGTGGACTTTGGGGGAATGACTTACAAAGATACATAACAGCTACAAGTGTATGCACTACTTGCTTTTCCTGCTCCGATTTCCATTTTCACATGCACATGATCGTGTCTCAAGAGTTTCTCCCATTTTGTTTGCTTGGTGCCATCTGTTGACGCTAAACTGACATCCTGCTTCCTCTTGTGCTGTTATGTTGCTAAAATTCACTTTAGACTGCACTGCACTTGCTCTGAAATTTGAATGATTTATTTTTATTTTACACACACACACATACATTTTATATATATATATATCTCATATAATATATAATATTACTTACAAAAAGACCAGTTAATTTGTAAGTTGAATTTGTAATGTCTTTCTTCTAGTACAAGTGCTGTGGAAGAAACTCCTCTATTGATTGGTTGAACTCAAAATTCTTGGCTCCCAATTCAGTCCCAGACTCCTGCTGTAAAAACGTCACTCAGAATTGTGGTAAAGGAGCTATCCGAGACACCAGCAAAATCTACACGGATGTAAGAAACCTTTTTTTTCTTCTGTACGGAGGCATTTTTACAAAGAAATTCTACAAAAAATTAGACCGTCTGTGTCCTCATAGCTAAAAAAGAAAATTCAGAGTTTTTAAATAAGACTAGTTCAAATTGTTTATTGGACAGAATATGTGGGATGTGCTATAAGCACTTAGATTTTGTTTGTGTATTCGTTTAACACAGGGATGTCTGCCCATTCTGGACAAATTTCTAAAGCGAAACATCCTGTGGATCGCTGTGGCATCTCTGGTCATTGCATTTGTGCAGGTAAGACCTGCAAGATTAGTTTTTCTATTATATGCACATAAAAACGTCATTGCAACCTTCTCTTTTTCATACACTAACCAATACAAATTTTTTTTTGTAGATCACAGGCATTGTGTTGTCCTGCATTCTGATGCGAGGCATCCGCAGTGGCTATGAGGTCATGTGATCACATCTAGTTACAGCACCTCACCCATATCAGCACATCACTTAAAGCTTTTAGAGACTGTTTAGGTATTTTTTAAAACTATTATATAAATGGCAATTATTATCCCCCTTGCTGTGTAAGTTGAGAGTACTCATTTTCTTTGAGAATGAAATATCTATGACGTCTATGCTTCTATGACTAATCCAGTAGATTAGTCTCCTGTTAAGTCTCAGATTTATACTTTAGACATCGTTTAAACTTTATCTTTACCGCAGTGACATTACTTTGGGTTACAGGACAATAATCAATTAATTACCGATATGCCAAATTTTATACATTTATAGAACATTCTTGTCAAAATAAAAGAAATAAAATGTTCTAAACAAGTTTGTCCTTGTGTTAAATAGAACGTAATGAACTTAAATATTTAGAGGTATTTCAACTTACTACTTTGGTTGGTGAATCAATGCTACCTTGATGAAGGATGCAAACAGAGATCATAAAGTTTGAAGTCTTTTAATAGAAGTTCAGGTCTTCTCATACTGCATTCACTATGTACTTTAACACCGAACCAAACGGCATTGTCTCTTTATATAAAAATAAAATATTGCAACACAAAAAGATAACGGCAGGTATTGCACCTAATTTATTCCTGTGTTTTTAAGTAAAAGGCACCTGTTAAAAGGCTGAATAAGAAGTTCAAGTTATTTCAGAACCTGACAAGACTCATTTAGCATAACATTAATGCTTTGACCAAACAGCTTATTGCTCACAGAAAACAGCTTCTTATTGGATAGGTCAGGAACAAGGTGCAATATTCTTTGTGTTGTTTTGAGAACTCAAAATAAATAATACATTTAATTAAAGTGAGTATATGCTGCATTATAGAACTTAGCTTAATATTATATTAAGAAATACACTTTATCTCCAGTATTTTTAAAGACTGTAAACCTCTTTCCAGTCCTGTCATCTGATTTCAAACTCAAAAAATGGATTTCTATAGTAAAACATTTTAAACAATCCGAGACAGACACTTGAAAAATTAATGTGATAGGTGATACTTAGTGCAGATTTTAAACAAAGGTACAAAATGCCTCAAAACGCAATTCACAAATGACTGTGCATGAACAACTATTGTTAGCAGAATAAATATTCAAAATGAAAATGTTTCAAGATAAGACCAATGAGCTTTAATTCCAAATGGTTGCATTTGGCATATGTTCAGTGTGCTTTTTGTCTCCGATCAGGTTAGAACCTCTCATAGTGTAAATGTACGTCACTAATTACACACCCTGTCTATATGGAAGAAAAAAAATGAATGAAATTATTCCACAAGTTCCAGAATCCCGATGGCATCTTTCAATGACAATGTCCGTCCTATCTGTTCCTTACTGAAGTAAACTAAATTGGATCTCCTAGAAACACTTTTAAAGAATGGCAGGCCCTTTAAAGAATAATTCCTGCAGAAACTTCAAAAAATCCCTTCATAATGAAAGTAACGTGTGACTGAGCCAAAGGACTCATGGTAAAAAAAAAAGTGTTGTGCTGCTTGAATTTGCAAACATGAGTCTGTTTGTTCCTGTGGTGTTTTGCCTTTGGGTGTGGTGATGGATTTTCAGCACTGGGCATTAGGAAGAGAAGTCATCTACTTCCTTCTGAGGTCAGTGACGTGGGTGTTTAGGGTAGTTTACAGTGAGCAGCACCATACAGTGCAGATAGAGGGAGGTCTCTGACTCTGGTCAAACAAGAAGGAAACAGAATACACAATGAATGTGCAACACCGTAACTGTCATCTCAGTTTCAAAAGCAAAACCGTGGTTTCTTCTGTTATTTGTTCATGCCATTCAACACAAACCCCAACTGACTAATTAAGAAACATTCAGGGTATATTAAAAGCTAACTTTAGAGTACATCTATGTTCAAATACTGAATACTGTGCAGTACACACTATACTTAAAAAAAAAAAAAAACTTTTGGTTCATTCATAACACTGCACTGCATTGTGGGATACAGTATCCTTGGCAATGCATTCAGTTGTACACTAGACATATTGTATTGTCTACAGGGAATCTGCATACAGAAATGTTGCAAATGAAATGTTATGTTTAAATTATCTAATTAAATATGCACTCATTTGCATACATATCCAGAACAGAAATCTGATCACTGGATAAGGCCGGGTTCAAAATTCTTATTTCACATTAACTTTAAATGCTTTTCAGAGGGGATTTTGGACATCTGTTTTTATCACTCCATAAATCAGAAAACACTGTCAGCAGCCAGAAAATGATTTCACCATGTTTCTAGGAATAAAATGTTGTATAACATCAGACAAATACATATCAAACCCCTCTGTGAAAAAAACAACCCTAAGAATATAGATGGCAATAAAACTGTATGTAAGTTCTATTGAAGTGGAGGTTTCTGGGGAAAAAAAAAAAAGTATTTTAAGAAAACAGCCTTTAACATGTATGGCTCAGTGTAGAACGTCCAGGGTGTCATCTAGTAATTATGACCTGGCGTGAACGCACCATAAAAGTAGCATGCTAGTACGCTATGCTGAACACAGCCTTGATCTTATGGCTTGTGTACCTTTGAGGTGTGTTGAGAACTGCAACCACTGTGTGAGCCATTCCCGGCACTGCCCTGGACTCAGACAGTGAGGATTCAGCCCTCTCACGTAACATGCCTAGGAGATGTGATGTAAAAATAGTCTTCAAAAATCACAAAATAAAGTCTGCTTAAATGTAATAGGCAATAAAGAGTGACCCCTGACCTCTCTGAGCTCCGCATCGTTTAATTGGTGCACGCCTAATCGAACAATGGTGCGGTCAAGCTGCATGAGTTCTAAGGCATGGCTGTTCAAGCGTCGACCAATCCAAAAGGCTGGGAGGCGGGGCATCAGGAAGAGCAAAGGACACAGGCGCCTCTGAAAATACATTTTAAACAAGACAAAGACTAAATAACAAACATTTAAAGTGCAGTTCATTGTTCAACTAGCCGATTATTTTAAACTCACCATTTGATCTGCATACATTCTCTTGACACCCAAGGGAGGCCCAGAGAACAAAGTTCTCACTGCATGGACATCAGACACCACAGGATGGACTCCACTTCGGACCTGCAGACACACATTTATATTTATTATAAAGTCAAAATCTGAATAAAATAATAAAGGCTATGGTTTTACACATACGTAACATTATGAATTAGCTCAGGCTACCTTACTGCAGAGTTCCAAGAGGCGGCTTTTGAGGCGACTGTCTTGGACAGATGTTGACGTGCTCTCCAGCCCTTTGACTATAGCCCAGTGGTGCTGTGCTCTCTGGGTATGATACACCCCCTGAAACTCCACCAGCTGCTGTGGGGTCCAGAAGTGCCGGATCAGAAGCTGGCGAGGATAGAGGTACCTAGAGGATGATGCAGGCATGTGATCAGCTAAGGACAAGAAAGAAGAAAAACATCCACCTCTCCCCATTTAATAATAACAATAATAATAAATTATTATTATATTATTATTTAAAATATTTTTTAAATGTATAAACTAATCAAAGAAATATACTGTTGCAAAAGAATTATTGTGCTGTAAAATAAAAAGCTGAGTATTTAATAACGATTACTGAAAAAGTATTTAAATTGTAAAAATCTAAATCAATAAATATTACTATTGAAATAATACTATTGTGCTGTAAAATAAAAATAATATTTAATAATAACAACAACAAACTTATTTAGTGTTTATTATTTTTAACATTTTAAAAATTAAACTTAAAACTCAAATCAATAAAGAAATATTGCAATAATACAATTATACTGTAAAATTAAAAAGATTAATAATAAACATAAAAATTATATTTTTTTATTTAAATTATAAAATTAATTAGAGAAATATATTACTATTGCAAAAATATTATTGTAATATAGCTAAGGATTAATAACAATAATAATATTTATTTTAAAATGCATCCATTTTTCACTCAGATTGACACAATTTGATATCTACATCTGTCCAAGACAGCCGACTCAAAACCCACCTCATAAAGCTCTGCATTAAGGTAGCCTGAGCTAATTCAATATTATTAGCATTATTATTATTATTATTAATCCTTTGCTATATTACAATAATATTTTTGCAATAGTAATATATTTCTTCATTAAATTTTATAATAGAACAGTTAAGAGGGTGTTTTGAGTGTACTGAATGGGACTTATTTTTTAATGATAACGATTGTTGTAGTAACTATGAATTGTTGAATGATACAATAACCTGCTACATCAATTTCTGTGTAAATTCTGTTGTTCAAACAAAGAATATCAGAATCTACCCAAATGACAAGCCATGGATTAACAAAGATTTGAAACATTATTTAAATATGAAGAAAATTGCTTTCATGCAGCATGATCAGCAGAACGTAAAGGAGTTAAATAAAGCAGTTAAACGTAAGATAAAAGACACACAGAAGGAATATAAAGAGAATGTTGAGAAGAAATTCAAAAGAGGAAATGCAAGAGATGCATCATCCCAGTACCCAAAATACCTCATGCAAAATTGGTAAATGACTTTTGTCCAATTGCGCTCACATCAGTTCTTTGCAAATGTATGAAACGCATAGTAAGGAATTGTCATCTCAAATTGAGAGATCTATCGACCCCCTGCAATTTGCTTACCGGGCCAATGCCTCTCTCACTATTTTGAATAAAGTTCAACATCATTTAGATAAGTCAAATATGTAAGTTAGAATACTCTTCATGGATTTCTCGTCTGCTTTTGATAACGTCCAACCAAACCTTCTTTTAAAGTGCCTTCACAATTTAGGTGTTAGTAGTTGGATGATTTTATGGATTAAGGAATTTTTAATAGACCGACCTCAGCGTGTTTGTATTAATAATGTCTTGTCTGACTGCTTGATTTTAAATACTGGGGTACCACAGGGATCTGTACTGTCTCCAATATTGTTCTCTGTATACAGCAATGAACTGCAGTGTGATGATGATAACCTCTCCCTCATAAAGTATACTGATGATATGGGCATTGGTCTCCTGTCAGAATGAAATGAATTGCTCCTCATATTTTGAGTATATTGACAGTATTATCAGTTGGTTTGAGAGCTATGATACAAGCCCTGTATACAAACCAGTCATTATAAAAGGAAAAACTGTAGAGCAGGTCTCGAATTTGAAATATTTAGGAACAATCATTGACGATAAACTTAACTTTGAAAATAATGTAGAGTCCACACACAATCTAACTATGGTATACAGGTCAATGATTGAGAGCATTCTTACATATAATATTGTTTAATGGTACGGTAATATAACAGTTAAACAGAAGAACAAACTTTCACAAATATATAATCAGGTAAATAATATCACTGGCCATAAACAACATTCACTTCAGGTCTTATTTGATTATTTTATGGAAAAACTGCAATTTGTTTTTCTTCTCTCTTAATAATGTTGTTGTTGTTATTGTGTGTGGTTGTTGTGTACTACCGCAGCTTTAGAGTCCAAGACAAATTTCCTGTAAAGGACAATTAAGTATAACTTGACTAAACTTAAAGATCATACGCATCCCCTCCACTCTACTTTTGAAATGCTTCCATCAGGGCATATACTCAAAATTCCTCTGGCCATAAGAAATACGTATAATTTGTCCCAATGGCAGTTATAATTTTAAATCAGATTATTGTTTGAAGTAAATGCAAGAGAATGGTTGGCATTAAATTTTTTTTCTATATTACTGTGGATGATTTGAAATGTGTAAGAAATGATGGGGGTACTGTCAATTGTTTACATTTGTTCAATTCTATGTTTGTGTCGTTAATGTGTGATGTGTTTTTTTTAAGCATTAATGTGGATGTATTCATGTCACCAGTCAAAGACAAATTTCTGCTCTGACAAACAGAATGGACAATAAAGTTAAAGTTAAACTAAACTAAATTCATGTGGGTCATACCTCCCAGGTCAGAAAATACAGAAATATTAATAAATACGGAAAAATCACATTCCTGAGGATGGAAGTATCATCGGATAAATGTATGGAAGAGTGACAGATAATAAAGGAGACATGCAATATTCAATCAGTTTCAAAGATGCAAAAATACTCCATAATTGCTTAAAAGGCAAAACACTGAATAATCAGCGTAGTAAGATGCTAAATACTCACATAAGGATGAAGACCACATAGTTGGCAAAAGGAGGTACTGATAAGATGACCAATGGAATGGCTTTGATTAAGTCCTTGCGGACCTGAAAGCAACACACAAAAATGATAATTTAATACAACTTATAACAGCAATATATCCCATAAATGTCTGCTTCAGTTCTTTGACCCACCTGCCTGATTTTCTCCATATCACGGTAAGGCAAATTCTGGTACTCTGTTTTTTCACTGAGCATGCGGGCTACGATTCTTCTCACTTCTGTACCATCTTGAAACAGGAGCCGGAAACCTTTATAGAAAATCATAAAACCTATATTATAACATATTTGCCCGAGATGGTTTGAGGATAAAAATTCAGTAATGATTTTAAATATATATTATTCACTCTGACCTCTCATAAAAGTGTGATAGATAATGTAAAATCGTGGAAAGCGACGTTGCAGGAATCTCTCATATTTCTCATTGGCCCATTTCAGACCGGACACAACGCTTCGACCAATTCCATGTCTTGCTTGTGAAGGCGAGTAGTGTCTAGCAAACCACAAACTACTACACATACATACATACATTTGTGAGATGTCATAACAGGGCAGGGCATGTACTGTATTTCCTGATGAACCCAGTGAAATTTTTTCTCTGGACAACAACTAAAAGGAGGACAGACAATGAGAAATATTTCCAGTGGCCCTACTTGTATAATTCATGATGAAACATTATCTTCAGTATCATTTTATAACGAGTCTATATGCAAAAACACCAAGCTGTATGGTGGTATGCGCACCACCGCCTACATATGATCGATCATCCTGAACTTGTTATGAATAGTACCTGGATTTTGTGGAAGCCAGTCTAAGTGTGCAGAGACTTGCTTTGACCCCGACAGGTCGTTTTCCGTACAGTAAGATCAATGAAGTTCCGCGGCACACCCCTATACAGGACAGCGCCATCTTGGACTGAGCAGCTGACAGGTCTACGTGGGCGTGTCTTCAGAGAATGGAATGCGGGCGCGGCGCTGTGATTGGCTGCTTCAATAACCGCATATATAGTACTCAAAGCGCACCACTTTTTTTTTTTTTTGTCGATAGATACCGTAGTATTTGTGTGATTGGAGTCTTCATTTCAAAACCCTATTAGTCTCCTTGGCTCAAGCAAATTAAAAATGTATATATATGTACGCTGCTGTTCAAAAGTTTGGGATCAGTAAGATTTTTAATGTGTTTTACAGAAGTCTCTTCTGTTCATCAAGGCTGCATTTATTTGAGCAAAAATACAGAAAAAAACGTAATATTGTAAAATAGTATTACCATTCAAAATAATGGTTTTCTATTTTAATATACTTTAAAATATAATTTATTTATGTGATGCAAACGCTGATTTTTCATCATAATTACTCCAGTCTTCAGTGTCACATGATCCTTCAGAAACTATTCTAATATGCTGATTTATTATCAATGTTGGAAACCTGTGATACTTTTTTTCAGGATTATTTTATGAATAAAGTTAAAAAGAACAGCATTTATTTAAAATAGAAATCTTTTCTAACAATATAAATCTTTATTATTACTTTTTGTCAATTTAACACATCCTTGCTGAATAAAAGCATTCATTTCTTTCAACAAAAAAAAAGAAAAGAAAAGAAAAGAAAAGAAAAGAAAAAAATGGCTGACCCCAAACTTTTGAAGGTAGTGTATATTGTTACACCATATTTATATTTTGAATGTAAATGCTGTTCTTTTTTACTTTTTATCCATAAAAGAATCCTAAAAAACGTATCACAGGTTCCAAAAATATTACCAGCACAGCTGTTTCTAATCTAATTTAATCTAACTGAATTGAACTGAATTGTTTTATTTAACTTTATTTTATATAAAGCCGTTTTGCTAGTTTTCTATTTTCTGTCTGTATTTGGAAAAGTGTTGACCATAGTATATAATTATGATAATATTGTAATGACGAAACAAATGAAGGTTTTTAAGTAGTGGGTCACGTGACATTCACAGGGGCGCGCGCGCCATACCTCAAGACTACAAAAGCCAAGTTGTAAGTGTTCTGACAAGATAATGCTATGTAAAGAAATTAGAAAGTATTGCAATTTGTGAATTTTATTTTTTTTTTTAAAGAAAATTTGTAAATGTTCTTGATCGAACTAGGCTACTTTAACTTTTGGCGTTCGACGTCCCTTCTTTCAACTGTCTTGTTTAGCACGAGCCGCTTTTCTACTAATCATTGTGTTTTTTAAAAACTTGGCTTGTTTTTAAATTGGGCGTGTCTTATTTAGGGTGACATTTTGTCAAAGCCGACGGAAAACGCAAGGTCAAGCAAACTACCCAAATCCCCAGAAGGAAGCGAGCATGGCCACTATTAGATTCGGGAGTAGCGTCGGTCCGTCTGGAGTCAACTCTGAAAATCAACAGCACGGCTGGAATGAAGAGAAGGGTAATTTAGCAGCTGGATTTATTATAGGCCTGCCACTTCTGAAGTCACAATATTACAGTCAAACACGTCCATCTAGCGCGTTCACATAGAAAAACAATGGACAAGTAGCGCAGTGGAACGGAAAAGGCGTTCCGTGTGAACCAGCCACAAGAGCAACCACGTTTTATGATGGCGCTTCTTGTTTTCACAGCTTATGGTGAAGACACTGATGACGCCAGTGACCCCAACAGGCTTGTGCAGTGCCCGTATGACAAAAAACACCAGATCAGAGCCTCTCGCTTCCCTTTTCATGTTCTCAAGTGCAGGAAGGTGGGTTATGGCGGGGGGATCTTCTCCATGTGTTTGTGTTTCATATCATATTTATTGAAATTGTGAGAGTGTTGTGTTCTTGGCATTGGTGTTGTGAGTACTTTATCTGTCCACCCCCATCTGTTTCAGAACCACCCCAAACTGGCTAGTGAACTGAAGACTTGCCCCTTCAACGCCAGACACTTGATTCCCAAGCATGAGTTGTCTCATCACATAGCAAACTGTGAAGACAAGAGGTCACTGAATGCTGAAGATGGTTAGTGTTGCATGTTTGAGCGTGGGCTGTTACTGTGATATTTGCGTTCTTTCATGGGACAAAAAAATCCTTTTGTTGTGGTGTTTGGATGAAAATTAGATGAACTAGTGAAATCAAAATGTTGATTTTAAGACTACTGTACTTTTCCAAAATCTTGACATTAAAGATGCATTCATTTGTCAATCAGGATTTATTTTTATTTTTTAGGAAATGTAGAGGTGCTGGAGAAGTTTCAGGTGCCTGTTAACACCTGCACAAACCCTTCACCCTATGAGGACTGGGAAACAGGTCTGTGACCGGTTGAGTGTATGGGGTGCCATTTTGAGTAGTTTTCATATACTAGGCTTCTGCTGTATATCTACTGTGGCACTGCCGGTTTGCCTTATTTAATATGTATAGTTTCTGGGTTCTGTATTTTGGTTTAAATGAATAAATCCCTTCTTTCTGGATGATTCCCTCTGTTTGGCCCTATGATTGCAGAGGCTGATGATAATGCTGCTATGTTTGTCTGGGGTGCATCCAACAATCAGCTTGCCCAAAACAAGTGAGTCCTCATGTTCTTTTTCCCTTGACCTTAAATCCTCTCACCCAGTAAGGCAAACAAGCAGTGTTTCTGAGCATTACATTTTTGGGTAAATTACCCTTGTAATGGTTTGATTGCAAGTAACCAAGTTTAACCACTAGGGGCACTAATATAAACATACACTTTTTACTTATACCTGCATGAAAAAAAAAACATGACCCTTGCCTGATGTTTTCTGACAAAATAGGGCTAAAGTGACTCCACTCAAGTGATTTATTAATTTTTTTTTTGCTTTACATACACTTGCACTCATGTTTTTGTTAGGCCAGAGCCATCTACCACCATCAGTTTATCCGATGGACTTAGGGCACCACGGACTCTTCCATGGAAACTCTGTAAGTACTTTAACACTCTTAATTTAACCAGAGGTTTTAGCTTTTAAACAAGTCTACTGTTCTATCCATGGGAGTTATTAACGCTCCTGTAGATGGCAGCAGCACTCTTAGCTGATTCAAACAGTCCTGTGGCATTTTATAAACGGGCTAGTTGCATAAACACAGCCACTATGTTAAGACTTGAGAATTAGTTTCACAAACTAGTAGTAGACAAAGGATAATCGTTTTTGGTTTTTTTTCAAATTTAAATTAGACCAATTTACCTTTTTTGTAACAGAATTTAAAATGTTATGACCAGTCTTGAAGAAAAATTAGATAACTTAAGACTAGTCCAAGCAGTATATGCAACCTGTGTGTGTGTGTATGTGTGTGTGTGTGTGTGTGTGTGTGTGTGTGTGTCTATATATATATAGATATAGATAGATATCACGGTATTGTCATTCTCACTACGTTTCCTCCCTCTTTTTACTAAGGATGTCACCACTGGATGGACTTCACCGACTAATCTTACTTATTTAATACTTTAAGACCTGTGATTTCTAGCCTAACTTGTATAAAGTCTACTTATATTTTAAAGTTTTTAACTTTAAAGTGTTGTGAAATTTCCCTTTTCCTATTTTCTTCAAGTTAATACACTGTCTGTAAACTGCTATGGTCCATGTGAAGAGATGCTCCTTATTGAAGCAAACAATTTCGTGTCATATTTCAAATGAGACGCCATTCATTGCTAATCTTTCTGTACCATTGGCTTTGAACTTTTTTGCTTTTTGTGGAAGTGGTAGTCTTTAATCCTGACCTGTATGCTTCATTAAAGATTTCTTTAAGTGCAAACCTCCATTGCATTTTTTTTCTTCATTTTTGAACCATAGAGCAACAGAGCATAAATTAAGTCAAATATTACTTTTGGGAATTTGATACGTTTACTTTTAACATAACCATAATTAACAGAAGTTGCTTTAGGTTTTTAATATGGACCGTTTGGGTTATAATGACTGACTTAATTTAAAATGGACAAATGTCTCATGGATTTGATGGTGTTTGTAGGCTTCAATTTGCACAGTTTGCACAAGAACACTGAGCAAGATCTAAAATGTTTTTAAATACAAGATATTTGTAAATAGATTAATCTATGAGATTAATCTGGCAGTACATTAACAACTAACAATAGTGTTTATAAATGAACAGATCGATAAATGCTGTAAATTGTTGCATTATTGTAACAGTCTTTTGAAGTGATCTTTCTACCCGTTAAATTTTTCATTTACATTTGTTTCACAGTGTGCTTTGAGCATTTTTAATTAGTGTGCGAAAGTTCTGTCCTTTTTTTCCTGTTACAGTGGCTTATTTGAGTCACAGAGAAGATGGGCTAGTGTACCCCTGTGTCTGTGGCAATATGAATGGAGCATGAGTTAGTATGGCAGGGCCACAGGTCTGTCCCCTCTTCCTCATCTCCTCTGCCTTGTTTAACCCGCACAAACAGCTGGCCACACCAGCTCTCCCCTGCTAGCTGCACTGACAACAGACATTTGCACAAATGTAGGCAGGGCTGATTGCTCGCCCCCTCTGGCGCCTCTGTATCTGGGTGCCTGTTAAACAGCTGTGTAGCGCTTCCTTTGGTGCACTGTTACTCTGAGGACGCTCAGCTCCCCACTGGATGCAACAAATGCCTCGTTTGTAATGGGTTTTAATGTTTTTGTCTCATCGCTCCAGCCGGGACACGGCATCACAATATGGCAAGGGGCGTAGCTGGCCAATCAAAGCACACCTTGCTTTTCAGACCAATGAGCTTTGTAAAAATCGACGTGTTTCAGAAAGGCGGGGCATAGAGGAGAAACAATAATGTACAGTATGTGGAAAATAATGTGTTTTTTGAACCTTAAACCACATAAACATTTAATTACACCAAATACACAAAATAATGTTCTTTCTAGCAGCATCATATGACCCTTGTACCATAATTGTATCTCAATTTTGACTTAATCGCAATTGACTGTAAATTTCAACTTTTTCATAATTATGACTTAATATCTCATTTTGACTTTTCATCTCATAATTGACTGTCATAATT